CAATTGCTCGTCTTCGCATTTTTGTGGTCTACCAGAGCGCTCACTGTCTTTCACATTGAAATCACCACTTTTAAATTGTCGAAACCATGTCTCACATGTTCTAATCGATGGAGCGTGTTCACCATATGTTTCTACCAGCAAACGATGACTTTCAACAGCCTTTTTCTTTTGATTAAATAAAAAAAGCAATGCGTGCCGCAAATGTTCTTTTTCAGGCACAAAACTCGACATGATCACTGAACGATAAAACAAAGACGCTAGTTTTTGGCAGACTGAACTTGTGTTTGTAGTTAAATGTCAGACGAACAAAATGGCGTATGTATCAAATTAATACGCTGCGTACTTTTCGCTGGCGCCATCTCTTAGTTAAACCGGAAAAGACTTATGCATACACCTGGTATATAATTCATTTTGTTAAATTTCTCGATAGTTGTGAAGTGTTTAGACGGTTTGAGATTGAAAGAAATTTATTCTACATCTTGCTTAAATTCTATAAATTTAAGACATTCACTATTTTTATAACAAAAGTAGCTTTTTCATAAAATTGTAGTAAATAAAAATTGTACCAGAGTTATAACATATAAAATTATATCAATACGTCACACATGCAAAAGTAATTTGGATAGGACATTTATTAAAATTATCATATAAAAGATATATTATAGCAAGTCTTTATATAGCAATAATAATCCGCCTAGACAATAGCCGCGCATAAATTACAATATACTTAATGCCATGTTATCATACGAACTACATGAAATGTAAAATACATTACAAATGTCTTTTTTGTAATATTATATGTTGTCTACGGCATATCTGCTTTACGCTTGAAGTATATATGGCAAAATTAACAGTATCAACAATAAATTTTGTAACTTTTATAAAAAATATACATTTTTTTTAAAGGTGTCCCTTTTTTTAGATAAAATTAGAAGAAGATCACCGATACACCAACATATCATTTTGAACATTCTAAATTTTTTAAATAAAACTTTAGAAATATAAGTACAAACTTATCACAGTGCCTTTTATCAGATAGTATAAATTTTATATTGTTTGTAATTTCTCAGTAATTAAGCTTTTCATAAGATAAACAAAAAAGATCATCAAAATAAGTCAGGCAGTAATGCCACATATTCCTATTCCTTTTCTTTCATAGAAGTCATCTATACAAAACAAGTTAAATGTATATAATATTTTCTAGAATCTTTTTACTTCGCAAAATGTTTTTTCGTCTTTAACCTGTTTAGCAAGACATAAATACGTAACGCAAGTTTTTTTTGAGAGGGGAAGTTTTCCCATCCAAGATATAAGAATGTCTTTTTAAGAGATGTGTAAGTATCAGCGATTTTCCTCTAATATTTAGCAGTAACTGTTTTTCCATTCTTTAGGAAATTATTCGAGCACGATTATTCAAATTGAATATTTGTAATCTAGACTAATAATTTAAGAAGACAAGCTATTGAACTATTGCTTGAGATTAATCGTTTCGATCCCTCAATGGCGTCAACGTTTTATGAGGAGAAGAAATAGGAGTTGAATGTACCATTCCTATATTTTCCTTGCCTTTCCAATGAGATCGCTTTTCTTCTGCTTTCAATTTTTCTATGGTCTTTTGTTGTTGTTCCACTAATCTGGTCTTGGTTAGCAATTCCTAAAAAAATCATTTTTAGTCAGAGATATAAAAAGAAAAAATATACAAAAATATAGATGTGATAGTCATTTATAATAATCATGAGCTTCACTGGATAAATAAAAACGCAATTTAGATTTGCTTAAAGATAAAAATATTTATTTCTATAAAATCCATTCTATAAAATATAATTAGAAAAATAATGTACAGTCAAATCTCCTCTTTGTGAAGTTGTTTAGAATCAAACATTCTCTTTAGTATAAAAGTTCTCCTTAGTCTGTTTTTATGACACATGCGCGAAATAATCTTATTTTCGCATTGTCTTTAATTCAATTTCTTATTGTATTGTAATTATATGAATGATAATAGCAGGAGAGTAATGTAAAGAAACATTACTTTATGAGATTACAATTTATTCACAAAAAGGCGAAGATCACAATCACTATAATAAAAGAATTAAATGTTTATTTCTGGAACTTCACAAAATGGAGAGCACAAGTAGACTTCAACATTATTTACATAATTAAATACATGAACCAAAATTCCACAATTGTACAACAACAATCGCATCACTTACGAAGCCTATCTGAGTGCCCAAATTATAAAATTATATACAGATATATTTATAAATTTTTTAACAATATCTATTAAAAATATGACAATTCCATTAAAAATATCGTACAGAAAGAAAGCAAAAAGCCAAAGAAGATATCACAAAAATTGCAAAAAGCGGGATGATACCACACACCTGTTCCAGTTCATAGTTCTTGTCTTTTAGCCGAATAACATGTTTGATTCTTTGCTTAGGATTCTGATGACCAATTACATCAACATATTTTTCAATAACTTCTTTGTATTCCTTCTGAAGAACTTCATTCATCAGATCTAATTTCTTGATCTCTCTACAGAAAATAAAAGTCATTATTTTTCAAATTCGTAATAAAAAATGTACTACATTAAACTTACTCCTCAGCTTCTTTTCGTCGTGTTATTTCTTCTTTGAGTTGCTGATAAAGTTCATTTCCCGAAGATTTCCATTTGATTCGTTCTTGCTCCAATAATAAAGTGGTTTCCTGTAATAAAAGATATTGTTATTTCCTGACTGTTTATTTATAATTTAATTTCAATAAGTTCTATTGATTAAAATAATATTACCTTTGCAGTTTTTTCTATTTCTTCAAATTGCTTAGCTTTTTCGGAAAGCTCTTCTATTCGAGAATTTGCCTATAAATATTTCATATATTTATATTAATAATGCACCATATTAATAATGACCAATGATTCATTTACAATTTATTTTATCATTATATGTAAACTTACTTCATCTGTAATAATTTTATGTTGTTTTGCTTGATCTTGAAGTAATCGTTTATTTTCTTCTAACGCTTTCTCGCTACTCTTTAATTGATTCAAAATTTTATTATTTTCTAGCTGCATTCGTGAAATATCGATTTCTCTGGCATCATTTTGTTCTTCTAATAATAGTAATGCACTTTGTGCCTCAGCGATACTTTTAGTCATTTCTTCAAGTTGTATTCTCAACTACGATGGAAACACGACAAACCAAATTAAAAGATCAACTTTTAGAAAAATGTTAATATTTTCATAAATTACAAAATGTAATATCAAAATAATTCCAATAACAAGCGTATTACCTCATTATTTAATATAGTTTTCAGTTTGGAATCATCTTCAAGTCTTGCAATTTCTTTTGCGGCATTCTGTTTTAGATTTTGTATTTTTGTCTCAAAGACAGACTTTAACGAATCAAATTGAGATATATTTCCAGACTGATGTTGATCTACTAGATCTCTGTGAGCATCTAACTCTTTCATGAAAGAATTAACTTGTTCGTGCACCAATTGCGAATTGGAACGCATTGCAGTAAGCAGTTCTTTATGTTCGCGTATGCAGTCTTCGCTACGTTTGACTTCATACTGTAATCTTTCCACTTCAGCACTGCTTTGAGCCAACCGATTAGTAAGCGCAGCAACAGATGCTTGATTTTCAGCCATAATTAGTTCAAATCTAAGTATTTAAAATAATTAAAGTAATCGCTCAGCAAAATAAAATATGCAGATAAAAGTTTTAGCATTATGAAAATCAAATTTGTTGATATCAACCTTTTCTTCCTAGCAACCATTTCGGCCGCTTCTGTTCTAATGTGGTCCTTTAAAGCTCTCAATTCTTGTTTCTTCTCCGCCAATTCACTTTCTGCTTTATCTAACTCAGTTTGCAAACTTTGACTAAAACTTGCCTAACAATCACAATTTATGACATAATAATATTATATTATGAATAATGTCACTAACATTAGCATCATTATAATCACCTGTGTTTCTACGGATGATCTTAGTTCCTCGAGTGTCGTGGAAAGTTTTGTAATTTCAATATCTCTTTGAGAAAGTTTTTCATCTAATGCAGTACGCTCTACTTCCATACGAAGCAAACATCTTTTATAGTTGTCGTTAGCAAGTCGCATCTCCTCTTCTACAGTATTTCGCGCTTCTTCAACCATGGCACTGACCTAAAAAAAAATTCTATTTAATTACGCTACGAATACGCTTTTCTAATAAACATTTTTTCAAACATCACAAGGAACATACATAGAGAAAAAGAAAAAAATACAATATTCGCAGTAAAACATCTATAAAATAAGAATTACATTTTATAACAATTTATAAGGTGTATAATGTCTTTACATTCACACAAAGGTTAACAGAAAACGAATGATTAGTCAGTGATGTTTGGCATTCTACGCACGTGTAATCTGCTTACTTTCGCGTCGCACTCAATAATTGTTTTTTTCACCTGTTCCGTGCTCTCAGTGCAACATGCTATTAGTGTATCTCGTTTATCAGCTTCCACTTGTTCGATCATTTTCTGAGCATGCTTCATTATCTGTTGAGTTTCCTCTTCGATTTTTTTAGCAGAAGTTCGTTTTAATTCCTCTATTTCTTCGTCTTTCATCTTCTTAATCTGTATAAAATACATACATACGTATATACACAAATATATATATCTATATAAATTATTGTAAAATGAATTTATATATATATATATATATACATATCACCGTACATTTTCTATTTCCCTAAAATATTCATCCGCGGCATCCTCTAATACTTTCTCTAATTTTAATTTGTTTTCAGTGTGTGTATTTGTCATATCAATAAAATCTTTTTTATATTTTTCCATCATAGTGTTATGTCTCTCATTTGAAAGCTTTAGTTCATTTTGAGCTTCATGTAAACGTTGAGTCACCTAAAGAATAAAAAGAAATTAAAAATGCACTAAGAATGTTTCCATAAAACTTTAAAAAAGTGGTAAATCGGTTAAATGAATAATTTTTGTTAAGTAACCCATGTTCGGCATTTTCTTAAAACATCAGGAGTCAGTTTTTAACTTTGTTACATGTTGCTTAATTTTTATAGTTAGGAAAAATAAAAAATCGTGTTTTTTAATTTTGTTTAATTTTGTTTTATTACAATAAATATTAAAAATGGCAAACAATTTTATTACAAGCATTACACATCTGTAGTGCATTGACCGACACATGCTTTGAAAAAACAGAAAATGTTATAAACCATGTCGATATGTTCATTGTTTATTGAACTCATTTCGAATGTCAATAATCACTTGATCGTCAAAACTTTGACATATCTCTATAAAAAAAAATCAAGTCACATATTCGGTGCTGACGAAACAAAAAAAAAATATAACGCCTTAAAGAGATGTTGCCAGACGTAATAGGTTACTTAGCAAAAGTTGTTCTATTTGAAATTTTCTGATTATCATCATTTTCCTTAAGTGCCTTACTTGTACATCTACACAAAAGTGTATCTGTATACAAGTATATGTACAAATATATAATACATAACAGTAAAATTGCACATTTACAGAGGTTACGCACGTCTGTATGAATATTTTGAAGATTTTTTAATTCTTCCGTGAGAGAACAATTTATTTCTTCCATTTTATTTGCCTTGGTTTCCATGTTTGATGCACATTCCTTATAAACTTCATTTTGCATTAAGAGTTCTTCTTTTTCTTTTAAAAAGTCGTTTTTCAAATGTTTAATTTCTTCCTCATGTTCATTAGTAAAATCGGAAATTTTATGAACGTAATGGTCGGTAAGTTCTCCATATTGCTCTTTAAGTTCTTGTGATTTGCGTTGCAGAGCAGATAATTCAGCTTCAAGTTTTGAAATTTCGTTCTGCTTTATTTCTAATGTAGATTCAAGATTAGATCGTTCTTGAGTTAAATTTGTGACACAGATATCGAGTTGACATTTTTCTTTTTGTAATAATTCTATTTCGATATCATGATCCCGTTTCGCTATTTCCAACTTATTTAATAATTCTTCAATATGCGTTTCAAGAGTTTCAATCTGTTAAACAAAACGAAATAAAAAAAAAGTTCTCTCTTAATACAGCAATCCATTTCACACTCCTAAAATAAAGTAATTTAATTTACCTTTGTTCTGTTCTCTTCTTTCTTGGCATTCAATTCAGCTTCTAATGTTGTTATTCCTTTCGATAGTTCGGTTGCACGACTTCTGAGTTCCTTTTCCATTGCTTTTCGCGATAAAATCTCTCGTTCTTTTTCCTTAGTCATTTCTAATAATTGAGAGCGAAGTGTCTGCATTTCTATTTGATGTTTATCATCATGACCGTTTATTACATCCTGTTGTAACTTAGCCTGCAAATTAAAAATATTTTGAAAATATAGTGTATTGACTCTAGCTAATAATAAATTTCTATTTAAAGATATTATATTAACCATTGTTTCTATATCTTTCATATGTTGTGTTTCTATTTCATTTTGTTTCTTACGCAATTCCTCCAATTCGGTTTCTAATTTCCGTATCTCATCTTTCATATCCTCGATGTGTTTTTCATGTTCCTGTATAGTCTTATCCTTGTTCAAACATTCTACTTGGAGATCCGCAAGTTGCTGATTAGATTCGTATTTCATATTTTGATTTTTGGTTAAAGGTTGCGGGGTTTTTAATTTGGGATAATTCCCAAATTTTCCAATTGGCCGCTTCGGTGGCAGTTGGGGCTATGTAAAAATATATTTTACATGATTTAATAATATATTTAATTTTATTAATAATATATTTTAATGTAACACAATATTTTTTCAAAAACGTATCTACACATTTTTATATATGTACATACATATACATTTCTATTCAAATACATTCTATATTACCACGCTACTTAATCATAAAACAACGCAAATAACTGTGCTTTTATAAATTTAATTTTAATTTGAAACATAATTAAAAATACACAATTCAGAATTCTACAATTCATTATTCTTCAATAATAATATAATTTGATATTTTTTTCAGATCTTTTTTCTATTTCTCAGATATTACAATTATAATTCATAAGCGGTAACAAAATTTGTGACAATTCTTACCACCCGGAAAATAGGAGCCGTGGCACTACTCTTTACTGATGCAACTGATGCATTGCATTCTGCGCTGCTTGTACTTTTATTATCTAAAAACCTATCGGACTTCTCAATAATAGCTCCTTTCACTTTATTGTCGAATTTCGGATCGTAAAAGCCTGGTGGAGGTGCATCACCTGCGAAATCATGCATACATTAGCGAATTAAAATAATACACAAAATATTTAAGTCCTTTTTTCGATCGTAATTATCAATTATTAGTATGTCCACGTAATATACTACATATGTATATTTGCAAATGTCTTACTCTCTTCTTTTTAAGTAATCTTTATCTTTAATTAAGAATATACTTTCTTGATGATCTTATATATATATAAAATAAAATTGATCAAAGAAACAACTTTATATAATAAGCAGATCGGATTTACTTTTAATTTAATAGTCTTGAATGATTAAAATAGATAAATCCTATAACAAGTTTTCATGTTAACATGAACAGATTAATGATCAGGACAAATTATTCTTATGCGTTTTAATTCAATTATGCCCCACAGGACACGAAGATTTAAATATAGCTTGTTCTTAAATATTGCGTAATATATCGGTGATACCAGCGCAAGGCGCTGCAACAACGAAAGAGAAGAAAGACGGCGTGGTTAAGTGAGACTTCCTTTTGGCGCAATGTATCGTGCATAGGGAGAAGCAGGCGCAAATGGGAAAGACAGCTGTTCTGAATGCAAGGGACACATCTCTATGGGGTCGTAGAATAACCAGGTGTAGCCGGTAACGTTCCCCATTGCGTCCGTACACGATAAAATGTCTTCTTTTATTGTCTACCGCGCGCTTTCTTCTATGACGAAGGAGAGGGAGAGAATCAATATATGAGAAATTTAAAGGGCAGACACAGCGATATATAAAGATAAGATATAGGGAATAACGAATAAAATATTATGTTGCCTACCTTTTACTTGAGAATAGCTACATACAACAGAAGCTACAAAGAGCAAAAAATGACAAGAATAATAACAACAATCACAAAACAGATGTTACTAAAGGATAAAACGGATTAGCGATCGCATGGTCTTGACGATCATCGTACATCAGAAAATACCAAAAAGCATTTATTGTGATTTGTCAAAATCGTATAGATAAAATATGTGCAATCGATAAAAGTAATATAAAAAGTATAAATGTATATCTACTTCTAATATTCATATTGTGCATGAGATACAACTTGTAAGGTTGGATTTTATATTTCTTTTATATCTTTCAAAGGAACGAAGTGTTAAATTCTGATTTTAATGAAACTTTATATACTTATAGCTTACATAAATAGATGAATTTAGAAAATATCAGTAGCAGCAAATAAACGGTTCTAAGGAATGAAATAACTCCTTATGTATAAAGCAGTTTTCAGTTTCTTTTTTCGTTATATATTAAAAACTATTTAATAAAAAAATTTCTAATATAAAAGTTTTACAATAAAATTACCTCTATTTAGCTACGTCAATATTTTGAAAAAAATATTTTTTTAAATAAATTTTGAAAAAATTATATTTTAAAAATATTATTGACGTAGATAAGTAGAAATAATTTTATTATGAAATTTTTGTATTAGATATTTCTTGATATCTCAAATAGTTTTTGAGGTATATATAACCAAAAAAAGCTGAAAATACATTCAAAAAGTGATTTCACCCCTTAACTTAAAAATATTTATTTGCCACTACTGATATTTTCTAAATTCATCTATTTATGTAAAATACCATATAAATATACAAAGTTTCATTTAAATTAAAACTTAACACTTCGTGAGGTTCTCTCGTTAGTTTTTTACTCTCTTCATTAATTATAATTACAAGACGTGCAGTAATAGTTGTTTTTGTAAATTAACATAATAAAAAATATCCTGTCTCTCAAATTTTAAATATAAAATACAAAAGATTATCTAAATTAGGTAAAATAAAATTTAAAAGTTTAAAATTTTTGTATTATATTAAAATTTATATATGGAAAATAAATATTTATTTATTTACTTATTTATTTATATATTATAATTATGAAATTATTTATTACTTAATTATGATACATTATTTTCATTTAAATAAGAGTATATAAAATATAAAAAATTGTAATAAAATAATATAAATTCCTCTGCAATTTTATTTTAAAACGAAAAGATTGATTCACAATAAGCCTATGAAATCTTACAATGAAAAAATTATCGAGAGTACCGAATACAGAATATACGATACAAGACACACTGAAGACGGTTAAAGCTTCACGTTCAACGTTAAGATTTTCCCGCCATAACGTAGTTACGCACACTTATGAATATGCAGAATAATTTAAAAAATATTAGAACAAATCCCATTGAATTTTCAATTCGTTTTATGGAAATTCGTTGCAGTAAATTCCTATCAAATCGTTAATGTAATTAACGCATATAATACTTAATTCAATTTCATTATGGTAAAAACTATTCTGTATATTAAAAAATTTCACACATTATTAATAACAATAAATACAATAGATTGTATACAATTAAATATATCGATAAAGAAAAACGCACACGTAAAGAAAAAATAAAGATCGTCAAAACGTCATCACATGTCGGGAACTCGATTGTAATACCCTGAAACGAGGTGAAAATTATAAAAGTGAGCAAATTTACTGGAATATTTATAATTTAATTCGTCAACATCTAGTAAATTTGCTCATCTTTGTAATTTTCATCTCATTTCAAGATACGCGATTAAATCGCGAGAATATCAATCTCCCGGCAACAGGCATGTACTCTCTAAATTCTTTGGAGTCTCGCTTCAAAAAGAGTGGCTCAATTTTCAATATTTAAGAATTAGATTTCACTCTTCCGAGTGACAATTCACTTAGGCCCTATTGCACATTGCACCAACGTTACTTTTATTTTAAATGAGGCTTAAAACTCTCTCTGTTTCTGTCTCTTTTTCGCTCTAAAACGAGACAGAGAATTTTAAGTCTCGCTTAAAGTCAAAGTAACGTTGGTGTAGCCAGGCCTTAAAGGTTTTAAGGCCCGTCTACAATACACGGAGTAAGAAGTAAGAGTAAGAAATTGACCAATCACAGTCGATTATTCTTCTCACATTCGACTGTGATTGGTTAATTTCTTACTCTTACTTCTTACTCCGTGTATTGTAGACGGGCCTTTAGACTGTAGTAGATAAGCGCTTTATTCCGAATCTACAATAGGTGTTTTAAGCCGTAAAAAATTGACCAATTACAGTCGAATGCGGGAGGAATAAGTGATTGTGATTCGTCCATTCCTTACGGCTTAAGGCTTAAAAACTATTGTAGATCCGAGATTAAGCGCTTATAATTTCTTTCTTTATCGTTCATTAGACATAAAATAGCAGCGCCAAACGCAGCTCCAATCTTAATGGCTTTCGTCTTCTTTATACAGTATCGGAGATATACTGTTACAATCATCAAAATAAAATGATAAAGAAAGATAAGTCGCGGAGTCAATGCACGAGACAAGCCACGGCGAATATCATCAGAAACTTTGAAAAAATTAAAAATTACCAAACAACACCAATCCAGACCAAAGTACGAATACGTTCGTCCCAGCAGAGTCATCAACAAAAACTTAACAACAAATGATCCATTTTCTGTGCTTGAACCGATGTACACTTTTGGAACTTAAAGTGAGATAGACATATGATTGATACTTGGCGAAAACAAGAATTCTAGTGCAATCTAATGGAGAAATAAAAAAACAAACATAGAGACGAACGAAAAAGCAGAAGGTACTATTAATTAAGGATGCAGGTATTAATCGACAATGAAAGGCTGAATAGATCAGCATGCAGAGCAGGTACTTGTTAATCGCTATAACAACTTACTGCCAAATTCGTTGAACCGTTGTATCCTTGCCTTGGAGAAGGACATCTCGCCGTTACTCGCGCGCGCGCGCGCGCGATTTTCCTACCGTGCCGAGTCAATCAACGGATTCGCGCGGGATCGTCGCTGGACAGTCGTTGCGGATAAAAATGACGCGTAGACTGACCGTTGCACCGTTCTTCTGTTATTCCGTTCACATGTACCTCTCGCTTACGCGAGAGCAAAACAATGCGAACCAGTACGGACCGCACTCAATCGTTCTCAATCACATTAAACACTGCGCGCTACTGCACGTTGCTAGTGGTTGCTAGCTCACCCTACCTCACTCGACTCGCTGAATCGGTTATTTTAATTTGAAACGGCGGTTATTCGTTCTCCAGCGCAGCGACGATTCGCTGCGAAAGCGCCCAATGAGCGCATGAGTTTACGAGAATGTGCAACCGATGGGTTTTAGTACCGTTCAGTACCAAAGCTGGTGATTTATCATTTGCTTCGAAGTTGTACAATTATACATATAATTATTAGTTTAATACAATAATAATAGTAATGGATATACATTCGGTTTTATCACTTTCGTGAGTTTTATGATTCTGTCTCAATTTTCTATTCCTAAAATTCTTTTTCTTACGCTAAGCAAAATTTACAATTAGTAAAGCCAAAACATTCGATCATATATTAATTTATTATTCTTTATTCATTCATTTGAGAATAAATTTATTTTTGCTTTTTGAATTATCTTTATTGGATTGTTTTAGTGAGATCCTTCCTCGTATTATACATATATATGGAATTATTTAATTATTCCTGGATTTCTATTATGTTTTTTTAGGAAAATGCAATAATAATTCCGATTGGAATTCATTTCGACTTGTTCTACAATAAGTTCTGTTTATATTAAGTCTGATTATTTATCATATATAATACTTCAGATTTTATAACACTTCCAAATTTTTAAAAAATGTCATTTTTTAGCATATACATATATTAATTAATTTATTTTATTTGTAATATTTTTAGCATTTCCTGAATAAATTTGTCATTCGTACAAATGTATTTTCGAAACTTCGAAACACCTTAAACTTCAAAAGTTCGAAGTTAATTTCGAAGTTTTGAAAAAATTCGAAGCTTCGAATCTTCGAAAACAGTCAAAAGCCCTGTTCAGTACTGAACGCTCAGTATGAGCTCTTGTATCTGATTCATGATTGCATGTTCCGTTAGATTAAAAAATCTTGATCAAACAGATGCAAGAATTCCAGCTACTGAACGCTCAATGAGCGGTGATAATTGATAATAATCGAGACACACAAGTGTCATTCTATCTTTGGGAGCTTTCCAGCAAGAGACACAAATTGACAAAAGAATCATTCTGTCCTTGTTCAATAATCAGTAAGAAACAAAGACGAAATGATTCTTGTATCGATTTGTGCCTCTGTTGGAAAGCTCCCTTAATTGTTTCTCATAGCAATGTAAAAAAATAATAGAATGATATTTGTGTCGATCTGTGTTTTTATTTAAATGAAAAGTACTAATTTGTAGGCATACGGCCGATCTCACTGAGGCGTCGTCTACAATACACGGAGTAAGAAGTAAGAGTAAGTATAATCGACTGTGATTGGTCAATTTCTTACTCTTACTTCTTACTCCGTGTATTGTAGACGGGCCTTAACTTTAAATCAATTAACTTTAATCGATTGATTGTTACATTGGAACTGACCAATTGCATTACTGTTCAGCAGAATTGACCAATCGCGATTGACATAATCGACCAATTAGGTTAATCGAAGTTGATGAAACCGGCCCATAAGCGTGTGTTGTAAACGCAGCAAAAGGAAAGGTGGACAGCTCGCGTTGTGGCGTTCGATTCGCCGACGTCTCGTCGTGTCTGGCCAAACCTGATTGAAGTCCCAACTTTCTACACTCCTAACCTAAGTCCCAAACTCTCGAGTCTCAACCTCGAATCGTATTCGTGGAATGTATTAGTGGAATACGTGCACGAGTGCCACGTGTACCCGGTGGATCAACTGATCCCAGCTATCGTGGGCTTCGTGATAATCGGTGGCCGCTACTGCTAGCTAATGCATCACCGGTGGAGTTGTTAACCTCGTTGAGTTTCCGCGCAGCGTATCAAACCTTCAGTTCACGATGAAATACAAGCTCTATATTGTACTCATTTTTCTTTCCGTTCTAAGCTATGTCACTTGTCAATACAGAACGAAAAACGTAAGAACTCTTCTTATATCTCGCACTCAAATTTAACTAACCAAATCTCTCAATATGCTTCCAAAATGTGACTGAATTGTTATTCTTACAGAATCAAGGCACCTCCTTGGCCGAACGCGTGCAACAACTAACCGAGATGACTTTGAAAAAACCGATATTGAAATTTAATGGGTCAAAATTTAAACAGTATATTAAATCTCCTCCAAGGAATTATTCTATTATTGTTATGTTTACCGCCATGGCGCCTCAGAGACAGTGTCAAATTTGCAGGTGAACTAACTTGCATTTATGCTTGAATAAGTCACTTGTAAGAAAAACCTATGTGTATCAATAATTTCATCATAACGTTAGGCATGCCAATGATGAATTTACAATAGTGGCGAATTCCTTCCGATATTCTGCCTTGTACTCCAACAAGTTGTTCTTTGCCTCTATCGATTTTGACGAAGGATCAGATGTCTTTCGATTGGTAAGTAAAATGTGCAAGGATATATAAATATGTAATTGATAAGAAATTTTCTTATCACAGATGAAGTTAAATACTGCACCAGTGTATATGCATTTCCCACCTAAGGGTAAACCAAAAGCTGCTGATACTATGGATATCCAACGAGTAGGATTTGGTGCAGAAGCAATAGCAAAATGGATAGGTGAACGCACAGATATCCAGGTAATGTTGTTAGCAGTCATTGTGTTGTGTCACATTTATTATACTAAAATTATTTTGATCTCTGTCATATGTTTTTTATTTTATTTCTAAATTGTTTGCAATATTGATTTATCGTCGATTGCAGATCAGAGTATTTAGACCACCAAATTACTCAGGTACAGTAGGATTAGGACTGCTTATAGTTATCGTAGCAGTTGGTCTGTATCTCAGACGTAATAACTTGGACTTCATTTATAACAAAAATCTTTGGGGATTCTGTGCTTTGGTAAATATATTTGTCCTCAATTACTTTTTTTCGTTTTAACAAATAATCCTGATTTACTTGTTTTCAGTTCTTCGCCATAAATATGACCTCTGGACAAATGTGGAATCATATCAGAGGACCACCTTTTGTTCATAAATCACCAAATGGCAATGTAGCTTATATTCATGGATCTTCTCAAGGACAATTTATAGTGGAAACCTATATTGTTATGGTTATGAGTATCCTTTTGCTGTATTCAGAAATTATAAAAAATAATTTACGTAAAAGTATAGAAAAATTAAGTTTGTGTACATTTTATATTGTGATATAGACCTTAATTACGTATAAAAAGATGGAGCAGTAGTGTTAGGAATGATCTTAATGACTGAGGCTGCAGCTCGTAAAGGAGATGTTAAGAAGCGTAAGATATTAGCTGTGATAGGTGCAGGATTAGTGGCAATTTTCTTTAGTCTTCTTCTGTCAATATTTAGAAACAAGGCTCAAGGCTATCCATATAGGTACGTATGTGTATTGTAAATTTTTTATGTTTAATATATTATAAACAAATTTAACATTTTAAAGCATGGTGATATTATTTGTAAAAGTAAAAAGATTTCAATAATATCATCATGCTTCACTTCAGTATTTATAAGAATTGTCATTACATTTGTATCCCAGGGAAGAATAATTTGCTTGTTTCAGTTTATTATTCAAATAACTAAATAGAAAGGAAATATCTTCATACATCATTTATTGAGCGAAAAATATTTGGCAGTTCCATATGGAATACGAAACTAGGAAGATTTTTTTACAAATAAAAAGTAAAGAGTTATATTGTTATAAATGTTGTATCACGTTCATTATATATATTGTATGTAACATAAAAAATCCGCATTTAATACTATTGTACAATAAAACAAAAGTAGTATATAGAAATATGTATTTAAATTAATATAGGATGAAAATTCATTAAACCAATTTATTCATTAGAATTTTTATTTATTCATATTTGGTATGCCTATTATTGTTTTAGTATGCATATTATAACTAAATTTTCAGTCAATAATATATCAATTTCATAATAAAAGATTTACCATATGTAAGGAATTATAATCTTTCTCTCTTTTGGATAATTTGTGAATGTTTTACGGTACCACTGATGAGACAAATATGCACATTCCATCTAAAAAAAAATCATTTGTACATACATATACTTGATCTCTTTTTATCAAAAAACATATTTCTTACTGATTTCTATTTCTTACCTGATTTGATGCAACCCAAAAAGTAACGTAATGAAATGTAGAAGCTCGCCAAAGGATCACGGAGAACATTAAATATATAATTACTTCGCACAATTGTAATGGACCTGCTATATACTTAAATAGACGGTTAAATGGTATTTTATGTTCAAGAGATACGACGTCACCATGAGAATTTTTACGTAGTTTTGCAAGAATAAAATTTGTTTTTAATTGTTCATATGACGCCAACAAACATATAGATGCACAAATTAGTTTCACAATTGTGACTTTGTGTAGGAACAAGGTTGCGTGCGAACCTATTAACGAAAAAAATTTTATACATATGTATATATGTGTGTATATATACATATAATATACATACTATATATTTTTTTAATTAAAAAGTTAAATTAAATAATAAAAGTTAAAAGTTAATAAGTTATTTTAAACATATTATCTT